AAATCGAGTGTCTTGAATTTCAATAACTCGTAGTTAAAGGACGTAAGAGCAAGTTTATACGGGCTCTAATCATCAATAGTTTAAATCCTATTGAAATGTTGTCTAATTGATACACTTAATAGATCTTAAAGCCTGATTATGGCAACTTAACTTAACTTAACGGAACGTAGAACTTAGAGCATCAAAATGAAACAGATTTCGGCGTGGCATTAAGTTACGTTAAGTTTCGGCTGTTCAATTATAAGCAACACCCATTAAACATAATGTTTAAGAGAGAGCCGTAAGTTACGTTAAGTTGCCATAATCAGACCATAACTATTCCAAACACTCTCGTACCAAAGGCAATAGCGTAGCTCCTCGACGAATAACCCTGCCCTAGAGCCAAGCTCTAATCTGTGCCCAGTTACAGTTTATGAAATATCCTGATCTGATATACGAGATCCCTGTACTCTGTTGCGACATCAAATTTAAATATTCTTGATGTTAGCTTTAAAATGAGGACCTGTAATTACAAATGTTTTTGATTTGTATAGGGGCCAGCCCAGTCTACTGTATGTTTATACATAACTACATGCATATCGTCAGTTAAGGTAACGATTTGCACTCATTAGTTATTATATATTTTTCAGATTAAAAATGGCTTCACTGCTGCATAAGTTTTCCAAAATGCATACAAGTATAATTGCGTCTGCTAGTGCGTGCCGCATCAACAGCAGTAATATAAGTCCTTCGCATCGGGCAATCTCACAACGCCCGCAGACGTTTGAGACTGAAAAACCGACCATTAATGCGGAGCGTAAACATAACTTTGTGAGCACAATACGGTAAGTTGGTGTTAGCCAATTCGGAACTATCCTAAGTTACTACTAAAGCTATTCATAGTCGCCTTAGTTTCGACTTATCTTGCTAAGTACCAATTTAAATTTAGTTTGAGCTGCAGCTGCAATTAAGTCGTAACTAGGTATAAGTATTTTATTAAATTAAAGGAAAAAAGACGAAATATGTAAAGATGAAGTTGGTTGAGCGTGATTTTGATAATATTGAACATGAAATTAAATGCGTATTACAATTCTTATAAAGCTAGATCACAATTTTATAATTGGAATGATTTAACTAAATTCTCAAATAATACGTAAATTTCCAAATTAAAATTTTTCAAAGGGCAATCCATTTGAATCGGAACAAGAAATTAAATGCGTATTACAATTCTTATAAAGCTAGATCATTTTATAGTTGGAATGATTTAAATCATATATGTAATACTTCTATATTGGTAGTAAGCTAACATCTCAATGTGTAATGTATTGTGTACTTGAGTGCCGTTTTTGTAAATGTGTCGTGTACATGTTTATTTATAAACGTATGTGTTCCTTTTCTTTCGTACGTGTTTATTCCCACTGGGAAAATAGGTAAGCACCTTACGAGGTAAGCCATGTTTTCTTTCAGTTTTTAGTACCAAAATTGTCATCATGACCAGCGTAATCTACTAGTAAAGCACAAAATGATCACCTCCGTCGACACATTACGTTGTCAGTTGCAAAATAACGTGCAGCCGAAGTTATTTCCAAGCACCGAACTACTCCGAGCGACTGCTCTGCATTACACGTAACTTATTTTGTAAAGCGACTCAGAAGTATGTTTGATAGCAAATGTACATTCTAAATTCCTACTTACACAAGGCGGCCATGCCTTTGTAAAAGTAAGGGACGTTCGGCAGGGAAATGGTAATGACTGCCAGGTGAAGAGTAAGTTGCTAATAAGGTATTATTACGTGCTCCTAATTCCCACTGGGTTGATATATCTGTACTGTAGTGTTTTCGGACGGTACTAGCTCTTACTGCCAATATAGGAGTATTACATATATGATTTAAATAAATTCTCAAACAATAAGTAAATTTCAAACTTGTTCTTTTAAAGTAAATTAGTGCATAGCATTTAGATACGTGTTTGTATGTTTCACAGCATGCTTTCAATAAACATCGACTTCACATCACTGCGGTTGTTCTTATTCTTTTGCATAAACATGCAATGAAAGTAAAAATTACATAAAGTGATCATCCGTTATATTTTTTATTAAATTTAATTTTTTTCAAAATATCGTAAAGAAAAATCGGTACATTTTCAAACTCGTTTTGCTATATTGTAAAGCTAAGTTAAAACT